GTGGTCAGTCACATAAATGTTCCCCTGGTTGAAGACCATGAACTAAAAGGTGTGACTGCAGGGACACTGAAAGCTTAAGATCAAAGTCTCCTATTTCTTGCTGTTCCTTCAGCAAAACTTGCAGAACTTTCTCACACTTTAAAAATGGACTTGAACTTAAAAATGGATGGTCAGTCTCCTTGTTTGAGGACTGTGGAGGATGCACCCTGTAGTGACTTTTGCATAATCCCTTCCCCTAGAATTTAGGAAGGACCTGTGATTTGCTTCTAATCAATACATATGGCAAAGGTGATGGGATGTCTCTCCTTGATTAGGTTACATTAAATGGAAAACGTGGCCAGATGTGACTCCCGTGATTACATTACGTGATATAAGATTCCCTCTTGATGACATCTTGCCATTTACAATGTAGAAGGCATTATGCTAAGTGAAATAAGTCAGAGAAAGACAAACACCATATGATTTCACGTATATGTGGAATCTAAAACAAAAACAAGACCAATACAAATGAAAAAAGAAAAAAGCAGAAACAGACCCATAAATACATAGACCAAACTGATGGTTGCTGGGGGGTGGGGTTGGGGGTGGGAAAGGGAAGCGGGAGGTATAGGCTTTGAGTTATGGAATGAATAAGTGGGATGAAATGTATGGCACAGGGAACAGGATCTTGTAAAAGCCTTGTACGGTGACAGATGGCAGTTCACTTGTGGTGAGCACAGCATAATGTCTAGAGTTGTCAGATCACACTACGTTGTACACCTGAAACTAGTGTAACATTATGTGTAAACTCTACTTCAATTAAAAAAAATAATTTTTCTTTTTTTTGAAGACTCCCTCTTAGGCAACTGAAAAAAGAGGTCCCCCTGCTGGTCAGGAAGAAGCAAACAGCAAACAGGATGCTTCGGGCCACTGCTAGAACTAGGAGTGCTGACCACCAAAGGCCCTCAAAAGGCTAAGGCTTTAGTCATACACCAGCAAGGCAATGAATTCTGCCAATTAACTTGGAAGCAGATTCTCAGTTGAGCTGGTGGAATAGAACTCAGCCACCATACTTTGATGTCAGGTTGGGGAGACCCTGAGCAGAAGGCCCAGCTAAGCTGATTCAGGGAAAGTGGAGTGATAAATGGGTGTTGTTTCAAGCCACTAGATTTGTGGTAATTTCTTACACAGCAATAGAAAACCTGAATAATAATACCTGGATCGTCTGGGTCACTTTGGTCCGATCCACATAGAGACAGGTCAGATGGAGGAAGACCTGTGTCGCTGAGTGCCGGAGTGCCTGAATCCACGCTGAGGTACAGAGAGATGTCTCCAGGCGATGCGGCCCCTGAACTGTCTCAGCCCAGTGGGAAGCCCTTGTTCTTCCCCTGGTCTTGCCACTGAAGAGGGAGACAGAGTCTGTATCCCAAGGCCCCAGAGGAAGAAGGGAGCTTTTATTTTCATTTTTGCAAAGCTATGTCCCCTGGGAGACTGTTTCTCTTTCCTACGTCATCATAAAGAGCAACAGGAGTTGTATGGGGTCCCATTCCCGAAGCACCCATGCCCCTGGGTTGATGAGCAGAAAGGACGGGAGAAACCACAGCCTGACTGTCCATTTGCTGTGAAGCCTTGAAACACTGAGTGCTTAATGCAGGTTTTAATCTTAGTTCCAATGGGCTTGGAGCCCTGCAGATAAATGCTCTGGCTGTCCCTGGACAATCAGTGATAACCAGCCTCGCCCTCAGGCTGCAGTCCAGAGATGGTCAAGGAGGCTGTGTTGCCAGCCCCGGAGCCTGAGAATAGAGGTGGAAGCCCCGAAGGCAGAGAACTCACAGCATCTCTCTGCAGTGTGGGGGCTGCTCCGGACGCTGTTGGTGCCAGAAGGCAGGGTTGTAAGTCCCAGTGTGGCGGCTGTTTCCACTGCAAGAGATGCAACAATTTGTCTCGAAGTCCCAGACATGGAGGGAGGCTGGGTCAGGGCAGACTGGGCCCAGGACCCAGAAGGAAGGAGAACTGCAGAGAGGGTGACCCAGGTGAGCCTGGGGAGAGGGACAGAAGAGTCAGTCCAGGCACCCACATGGCCTCTTCTTGGGGAAACTCACCTGTGCCTTAAGTAAGGAGGGGAAGAGAAGTGGAGCCAAGGTCGTGGTGAAGATACCCCAGAGCTCTGCCTCCTGAGACCCCAATACTTGGACAGGACGCTCAAGACTCTTATCCCCTCTGCATGTTTTGAAATGCAAGACGGGTCTCCATGCAAATTTGCTCCTGGGCTCTGATGTTTCTTAATCCCTCCTTTGCCCCTAGTCCTGACACTTAGCACCCAGGGGAGCATGCAGATGCCCTGCCCCAGGCAGGAAAGGTGGAGGGGGGTACCTAAGTCCTCTTCCCAAGAAGTTACTTTAAGGCTGGATCTATGGGACCTGGAAATGCAGAAGTACCACCGTCAGTTGTCAGTGAGCCCCACACAAGTTCTTCTCCCCACACAACTAGTCTCTCACCACTCTGGGGGAGGCTTCTCCTGCCCTGCGCAAGCCCAGTCTCTGCCAGAAGCCTGAGTCTGGGGTGAAAGGGTGCTGCCCACTTTCTGAAGGCTCCCACCCTTCCCTCTGAGTTCATTCATAGCTACCCCAAAAGAATTTTCAAAAGTGGTGGTTCCCCCAAATCAGGACACACAGCCTAGGGAATGCACACCAGCCATCTGGAATTCTCCCCAAGACCTTCCCTATCAGCTTAATCTTGCAGGGATGTGTTACTAAATCAGGAGCCTATTGTGCACTGGGTGTCATGGGAGCACAATGTAGAGAAGTCCCCCACTGGGGGCAAGGAGCCCCACCCTACAATTTCACAGCCCTAAATTCCTTCCTTGTTCATCCAGCTCTGTCTTGGACCAGTGGCTTGTCCATTCTAGCCCCAGTGTCTTCGTCTGAAAAAAACTAAGAAAGCATTAATATTCACAGCATCCTTGCATGAATCTGGCTATAAAATCAAAAAGCCAATGTTTCCATTAGTTGGGCTCTATGACTTTTATCCCCAGCACAGTTAGGTGGAGAGTCCAGGTTCTTTCCTCTTCAGGTTTACTTTACGTGATCATCGAAGAAAATATTTTCCTCTGTCTCATTTCCCACGGGGCAGCCTAGACCCAGCCTCCCTCAGCTTCAGACACATGGCAGAATAGCCTCCTTCAAACGCATTCCCCTCCCTGTCTTCCCTCAGTGAAGGTTTTTGTTTGTTTTTGTTTTTAAAGATTTTATTTATTTATTTGTCAGAGAGAGAGAACATGCGAGAAAGCACAAGCAGGGGGGGTGGCAGGCAGAGGGAGAAGCAGGCTCCCCACTGAGCAGGGAGCCCCATGTGGGGCTCGATCCCAGGACTCTGGGATCATGACCTGAGCCGAAGGCAGACCCTTAACCGACCAAGCCACCCAGGCGTCCCCTCAGTGAAGGTTTTAAAAGTCTCCTTTGTGATCATTATAATTGAGTGTGGGTTGACTATTTTTTTCGTATTCCTAAAAAATGAAAATAACTCTGTTTTTTCATCACTGGCCAAGGAAAAAAAATTATGATAGAAAAAGTTTGAATAAATACAGAAATGTATTTTAATATAACCAATGCTATTTTAGTGACCATCTCCTGGACATCTTGGCATGCTTATTACGTATATCCCAGAAGGTAGAGCCCATATAATTTTCATTCTCTCCCAGGAATACGGTAAACATTTGTAAGGATTACTTGAAGCAATGAATGAACGGTATATTCATGTTTAATTTTGTATGAATGGAATTGCATTATAAAATCAATCATGTGACCCGCATTTTGCTTTAAAATATTATAGACATCATCCTTTTAGTGTATCAATTGCAGTCAGTCTGAAAACAGCAATCAGATTATGGAAATAAGCATGGGCAATTTCAAAGGGATCACCTTTTCATTTCAAGTCTGACCGATGCATCCACTGCCCCCCTCTGCTGCTGTCATCACCCACCCCTCTGAGACAGTCTTTTTCTTTCTGTTCTCAAGTTGGCCAAGCACTTTACTCTATTAGGATTTGCTCAGTCCTTCCCTATGCTCAGAACCCTTTGTCCAGGATCCTCTTAAGCTCCCAAGGTTGCTTCCTGCTCAGGCCTCAGACAAGGATCCTGAGCAACCAGGGGGAGCCTGCCAGCCTAACTTTCCTTATCAGCCCCTTTGTTTTCTTCAGAGTTAGTTACAACTTGCCACTTTAAAACAATAGCTTCTTGTTTTGGGTTGTTATTTGTTTGCTTTTTAGTTTTCACCCTAAACTCTATGAGCCAAAGACTGAGTATATCTGCTTGAGGGTTGCATCAGCACCACTCAAGGACAAATGTTCCTTGAATGAATCCAGAAGACCAGAGGGAAGGAGAGGCTGAGTGTCTCCAGATCCGAGCAGAAAAAAATTGAGTTTTTAGCTAGCTCTGTTCTAGGTGATGATCATAGGTCAACTGGGGATCAACGCAGTGGCCTCATTGGTATGTACCTATGTATTCATACATTCATTTGTCTGTGTGGCCGAAATAGCTCCCAGGCTTGGGGATATTGGGGGAATGGCAAAGTAGATCCAGGAAAACTACCCAGGCTTTACTGCCCTGTTACTCTCAGCCCCCACGACCTTCCTATGGCCTGTGGTAACAGATTTAGGACCACTTGCATAACAAGGACACAATGCCAGACCCAGTCCCCACCTCCCCCTCCAGAAAAACACAGTCTCAGAGTTTGAGGAGGCAGAATATAGTCCCTCAGGCCAGCTTGAAGGAGGCATGGGCCCTCCCCCCTTGCATTTTTTTTTTTTTTAATTGAAGTACAGTCGACCTCTGCTTTGCTCGTAGCCCCTCTCTCTTCTCTTCACCAGGAAAGAATCCTCATCCATCTGGGTCTTGCCATCTCTCCAGAAGCCTTACTTTTCTCCCCGCAAACGTACTGGCAGGAAGCAGATGTCCAAACCTGACACAGGCCTTGCAAACATTCGGGCTTCCAGATCCCCAGTGCCCCCTGGTGGCCAGGGACACAAAATCGCAAGGGTGCAGGCACAGCTCTGGGAGAAGCTGAACACCAGGCTGTGGTGAGTGCCTCTCCATCTCTCCTCAGCATCCTTGACCTGCTGCCTCCTCACGACAGTCCGCCCACATTTTCAGCCTTCGGTCTAGTCCTGACTTTGTCAAAAGGTATTTGTTGGTGAAAGGGGGGAAGCCCCGCATTTAGGACTTGTGAAAGCTGAAGTTATCTGAGCGTTGGGGGAGGGGAGTAGAGCGAACGCAGGAATCTGGCTTCTGAAAAAGCTCTGGAAAGCCAAATCCAAGGGGGCAACTGAGGAAAGCACGCTCTGGAAAGAGGACAATCTAATCAAATCCTGACAGGGGTCTTCTCTCCCCCAGAGGTTACCTAAGTGGTAAAGTCCAGGGAGTAGGGAGCATTGTACAGCCCAAGGGTAAGGACATCTTTTCTAGACAAGGGAGGTGGGAGTGGGGCTAGAAGCCTCACTCAGGGTTCCGGCACCCCACACCCCACAGAGAGAAATAGGTCCCCAAGCATAGGCCCGGAGGGGAGGGTGGTAGGGGGGCTCGTCCCTCTCCTTCTCCATCGCTCCCTCATTCCACCCCAGCCCATCCCCCATTCCCCACCTCCCTTACCCCATCCCACCCTCCATACCCCCATTAACCCCACCCTTATCCTCCCCATCCCCGACCCCCACTCTCATGCCCCTCACTCCGGCACCTGGCACAGTCAGGTGGGCGTGGCCAACAGGCACCGCCCCTCCCCATCGCCGAGTCCCCGCCCAGCCTATTAAAACATACCCCTTCTGGATTCCCTGGACAACCCCGCTCGTGATCCTAGGATCTCGTGAGATTTCGCCCTGAAGGAAAGAGAAACCAGGATTGGTCACATAAGGCTGTTTCCGGGGGGGCGAGTGCAGGGCGGCTTGCTGAGGCAGCGGGCTTCCTTTCCCTCCAGGCTCGGTGCCGCGGAGACCACGTGGCGGGTGCGCGGTCTGGAGAAAGCGTAAGTTCAAACCCTGGATCCTCCTCTTTCTTGCGGGGTGACCTTGGACTAATCACTGGTAAACCGCCCTCCCCCCAACTCCCACTTCTGTTTGCCTTCTGAAAAGTGAGTTATCACAACAGAGGGTCGGAGTGAAGACCAAACGGTGTGCTCTGGCTTAGGGCAGCCCAGGCCACCTGCTCCGTAAGAGCGGCCGCGCTTATGAATGTCAGACGTAACAATTCATCGAACTCGGGCGTCTGCGTTTTTTGTTTGATCTCACTGGTTGGACGGGTGTGCACTTGAAATGGGGTGGCTGCTCTAGGAATCTGGCCCCTCAGGAGGTGCCGGGGTATGGGGTGGGGGGCAGAGGCAGGGGCGGGAACGTGGGCCGTGTCCTCGAAGGAAGGGTCGCTTTTGACGGAGCACAGGGTCTGTCACTCCAGTTGTCCTCTGGTTCAGCCCATGGGAAATTCTTGGTCAGATTTGGAGATTAGAGGAGATTCCCGGTGAACGGGCAGGGTCAGGTCTCCGGTTTTCCATTTTTCTCAGCAGTGTTCGCAGAGATTTTCATAGGAGCCCCTGGCTTGCTAAATACACGTGCTAACACACAGCCTCTTTGCTTCTGTGGAGCATTTTGGTTCTTGCTCTCAGACTTGGGTAGACGCAGGTGACTGAGAGGATAGGAGACCGGGGAAACCAAGTATTTGGACGACCTGAGGCCAGTCTGAGCTGGACCAGAGTGGACGGAAGACATCTTCAGGTAAGCTGGTCCCCTGAACTGGCTCAGGTGTGTCAAGAAACCCTGTTGTTCCGGTTGTTCTTGTCATCAAGGTGCTGGATGGAATTTGCATCCTGAGGATGCTCAGGAGGGGAGGAAGATGCAGGAGCAACCTTTATGCTTTCTAGTCATTTCCCCAATGGAGCATTTGTCCTGTTGATTTTTTTTTAAAGATTTTATTTATTAGAGAGAGAAAGCACAAGGGGGGAGGGGAAGGACGGAGGGAGAGGGAGAAGCAGACTCCCCGCTGAGCAGGGAGCCCAGTGGGGGATCGAACCCAGGACGCTGAGATCACGACCTGAGCCAAAGGCAGATGCTTAACTGACTGAGCTACCCAGGCGCCCCTGTCCTGTTGCTTTTTTATAAGAAGCAGCTCTAGTGTGTTGGGGACCCTATTTCCCAAAGCCATAGTTGTGTTTAGAACCTCTGCTTGGAGTGGAGGAGTAAGGCTGGCTACAGACCCCAGACACTTGACTCCTGTTTGGTGTCAAGCAGGGGCAGAGTGAGTGAGCCTAGGAAGGTTTTTGTCACTTCCCTGTGGGCTCAGACCCCTGAGGGTAAGGGATACTCCTTGAAAGAGAACAAGAATAGTGCCCAGCTAGTCCTCCGGCTAAAGCCCAAAGAGGTCAGTGAGGCCATGTGGCCTGACTTGGAGCCGGAGAATGGACGGAGGTCCCAGGACAACCTTGTGCATTGGGAGCGTCAGGCAGCACATGAGTGTTCTTGATACTGGGGCACCTAACTATAACCTCCAGAATCACTGCTGCCTCCAGAGCAGGAAATGATGACCTTCTGTCCCATAGCCACAGACCCCAAGGGTGTCTGTGTCAGGACAGACTGGGCCCAGGACCTTGAAGGAAGAGGACATGCAAAGAGGAGAGGTCAAGGTGAAAGCCATGACTTCAGAGGAGTTTGGAGCAGAGGGAGGAAAGGGTCAGCCCTGGGCTGCCAGAAGTTCCCGTCCTTAGTGTCCCTCACCTGTGCAGAGAGCAAGGAGGATGACCAGAGCATGACCAGGCCATGGTGGAGATGTCCCAGAGCTCAGCCTCCTGTGGCCCCTGTGCTGCCCTGGGCTCCCCTTCTTATCCACTGCCCCACATGTGGGATGGGCCTGCATGTGCACCTGTGCTCCTCAGGTCCTATGAGTGATACCCCATCAGCAAATTTTCTTACTTGATACAGCCAAAGATATGCAGGGTGGGGAGATATGTCCTCCCAGGAATTGTCCTGAGCCTGCTTCACTGGGGAGACATAGCTGTTGAGCTGAGGTGCCTCAAGACCTCAGGCCTTTCTGATTTCTTCCTGGGAATATTGTACCCCTCCCCAGCCCATCCTTCTGGATACCTGGCAGGGCCCACAGACCTCAGCAGAGTAAAGACCTGCTGACCCTCTGGACTGTCATGGGTGATGCCTAAGTGGAGACTCCTGTTCTCTGACCTTGTCCACTGCTGACTCACATAGAGAGTGGAATGTTTCCATTTTCAGATGACTTCCTCTAGGCACATTCCCATCAGGCTGGCACAAGTGACAGCCATAGAAAGCCCTGGACCAGCAGCCAGGTGCCTCATTCCTGTGCCCCCCTCCCATGGCCTGCTCTGTGACATGGGTGCAAGTGACTCACCCTCTTGAGCCTCAGCTAGTGTACGTACGTGGAAAGGAAATATCAATCTTAGCCCCCTGCTAATGACATTTCATGTTTTAAGAGAGAAACTAGAGGCTAGAAAAGTGAACTGCTTTGGTAACTTATGTTCTACCAAACACGAGGAATTCTTTTTATTCATCATTGTGATTCTGAATTCAGCTTCATGTTTGCATTCCCCATCTCCCCGAGAAGTGTGAAGGGAGTGTGAAAAAAAGAATGAAGATGTCTCAGAGGAAGTGATTCTGGCAGAAGTCTTCACACTAAAGGAACTCTCTTGAAAATATGTCATGACATTGAAAACATGGTAAAATGTTGGAAGTCTGTCCAAACTTAGAAAGCAGCATGACAGTTCGCCAGGGCATAGAAAAGATGCTCACTCTTTACCAAAAGTTATATGAGAAGTATATGAGAAGGACTGTAAGCAAGGTTAAAACTACTCTTGATACATTTTTTGCAGAGAAATGGTTTAATTTTCAGTGTTTAAAATCAACATACTAATAAATAGTAGTTTTACTATTTTATTCATTTCTCAACATGTTTATCACCAATAGGAAGAGAATTCTTAATGGTTGGCAAAAAACAGTCTTGAATGGCCGCAGAAAAACCATAACTTTACCTATGGATTCTTAAGATGGCTTCGCATAGTTTCATCTTGCAGGGTCATTTTTATGGCTCGGCTCTACCATGCAAAGCAAAGTCAACCTCTGATTAATTTATTTTTCAGCTTGCTGCTTTTTCATTTGCTTACTCAATAGAATGCAAGGTCTGTGGCACTCAGTAAATGTTTCTGAGTAAATCAAGGATTAAGAATAGAAAGTGTACCTGGATATGGGGGGAAGGGGTCAGGTGGTCTGGAGACATTCCTGTGAACATTCCACCTCCTGTCAGCCCTCATCTTAGGGCATAGGGGGTTTTTCCCACCGAGTGTGAGGTCAGTGTTCCTGGAACCCTGAGGATCATTGCTCCCGCTCCAGTGGAACAAACCCCGGTGGAAAGTACCTGATAACCTGATACATCTGGTTTTGCTCTGAGCCACCATGGCATTATGGCTTAGAGTTAAAGATTTGAAGGTCATTTGGATGACAGGGACACAGTACCAGACCCCATTCTCTTTCTCTTCAAGAGCACAGTTCTTAGTCTGATGAGACTGTGAAAAGGAAGGAGGCCAAAGAGCAAAATCCCAAGGAGCATCCCTCTCCAGGGCTGAATGCCAAGGCTGGAGCCCTCTCCTCTCTAAATCTCTTTGTCACCTTTGTGTCCAGGATTAGTCCTTGCCACTTTCTCTCCCCCAGGCTCTCCATTGGTCTGATTCTGTGCCCTTGGGCTAGAGGGAAACATGCACACACATACACAGATACACACACACACACACACACACACACACATGCACAGCCACTGGCACCTCACACAGGCCCACAGTGCCCTCAGTGCCCCCAGGTGGTCTCAGACACAAGTCTCCACCTTTAAGGGACACAGCTCGGTGGGAGCCAGAAGACCCGGTCGCCTGCTGTGCTGTCATTTCCTCCTTCATTCTGGGCCCCACATTGGATGCTCTGGGCCATTCCCGGTTCAGTTCCTCCACCTGCCACCAGCTTGGAGTGAGTCCTCAGCCTTCTCTTCCCCCACCAAGCCTCCAGAAGCACTGCCCCAGGAATAACGGGCTGGATCTAGAGTGACCTGGACATCAGGCAGGTCCTCATTGGTGAGGAAGAAAGAGGGACAATCTCTTGTTTAGGTCTAGATGTTACTGGATCTGAAGTGAAACCAGATCTTGTTGAGTACAGGAAGGGGCAGGGAGATCCAAGAGAGACCTTCAATTTTTAAAAAAGGCACAGAGGGCAAAATATTTCAGGGTAAGAAGAGATGTGACACCAGAGGGAAATTTCAGAGACGTAATGGATACCACGTGGCATCTCGCGTGTCCAGGGGCTGCCTCGGGAGAGCCCGAGGTGGGGCTGCTGCATCAGGACTGGGCTCCCAGCTTCTCATGAGCCTGCTGCTCCTCAAGACCAGCAGAGTTGGGGTCTTTTCTCTGGAACTCAGGAAGGGTCTTCCTCTGGCATTCCTGGAGCCCCTTAGAGCTAGAAAAACAGATGGGCTTATTTTCTTTCTGCACCTTGTGGCTTGTCATGTTCTCCAATATAATGCTCAGTAGAATTGGAGAGAATTCCTTGATTTCTGTTGATCCAATGGAAAGGTGTTCCCCAGCATCGTGGCCACACCCCAGGCTCCAAGAGAGGTGGGCTGACATTCCAGGGACACAGAGTGCTGCCCACTTGGCACAGGGCAGAAGCACAGAAACATTCTAAAGGCCCCAATAAGGCAGATGTTCTGGGATCCTAGTTGGAATTCTGTGAATGGAAAAGGTGGGGGCAGGACACCCACTCTAATGAGCTCAGGGGCTGCTCTGGCCTATGTAGCAAATGAAGACCATGAGAAAAGGTGACCAGGGTGCAATAGAAACATGCTTCAAATTCATGCCTTGGCCCTGGGACTTGTCCTAAGCCAGTCCTGATCCTGGGCAGGAAGGATAGCCCCTTATACAGATGTGTTCCTGGTGCTCCTGCTTCCAGCCCCGCAGTGTGTTCCCTGATCCAAAGGCTCTGCATGGAGGTGGACAGAGGAGTGTGCCTTGCCTCACAAGGGAAGAGTGTTTGGCTCATACTACACATTATTTAGATCTGAAGACCTCCTTGGATGTCCTAGACACTTGGATCCCTTAAACCCTTCCCAAGCTTGGACTTAGGCAGCTTTCCTGTTTCCCCGAGGTCCAGGGAAAGTCTGTCAGTCAGATGTCTTTAACATTGAGATTGTCCAACCACTTGGTGGGGCAAATCCATCCAAGCCCCTTGCCTGAAGGTGTCTACCAATTACTCCCTGCGGGGAGTAGGGTCTGGATTCACCGGGCTAAAAATAAAATTAACAGGGACCTTTAACTTTCCTGCAAAGGTTATTGGACGCACTGGATGAAAAGTTCCAGAGCACCATTTCCGGGCCCAGTGACTGCTCAGTAATCAGGGACGTTTATGATTATCTTTGTTACTAATCTCAGTCTCCTATAGCTGATTGATAATGGGGATTGCCTGGGGGCTAAAATGCCCATAGAGCACATTACAATTTAACCCTGTTTGACAGAAAGCCTGCTGATATGGGTGGTAGAAATTTGGAGAAAGCAGTCTCCATGAAGTTACTAAAGTGGAGAACATCCTTCAGAGAATCCCAATCTCCTCGCCAGTGGTATAGAATTGTTTGGGCATCACAATGCAAGGGGTAAAGAATAGCCTGGAGAATTCTTTGTGTGGAGAGGTTCTCTCTCTGTGTGTTCCAAAATGTCAGAACCACACATGTGTGATCCAGCCCAGCATGGGAATCGTCCCTAAATTTGGCAGATCCTTAAATGTCAAATATAGCTTCAAATTTTGTGAGGGAAAAGGGTTGGTATTTGCGTACCGAGCTTAATATGGAGAGAGGGAAAAAGTTTTATTCCTGTTCCTAATGGCACTGTCCCAGAAGAATGGGAGTAATTAAAAAGTGTACAGATAGGGCCAGAAGGGGCTTTTTGGAGCTGTATTTATATTAGTTGTTTCCTAGGAATGAGGAAACAGCAGTTGTCAATATACTTCGGAAGGGGCCTTTGGAGAGCACATTTGGGGCCAAGGCCCCTGGGAAATGCCTAGACCTGATCGGCCTTTGAAAGGTCAGGATGTGGAAGGGGGTACTTGAGGCTAAAGAGGAGGTCCTCTGATGGCAGCTCCTTGATGACAAGGATATATAAATTTAGTTCATGCTTATTTTTCTTGCTGCCTCTAAGACCACAAAGAGCTCATGGCTCTCACCCTCAGTGGCTGTCAGAATTGGACTAGTCACGTCCTGGGTTTGGTTGCCAGTACGGTTTGGACCTCTCCGCAGCCCAGATTCCTACTTTGAATCTTCTCCAGCCATTTTGCTGAGCTGATCCCAGCCTTCTAGGAGGAAATCCCTTTTACCTCCTGGGAAGAAGAGGAGATCTCTTCCCTGCCCTTGGGTTCAAAGGATCCATAAAAGCCTTTGAAGTCCTCAGACAAGGTGTATTTTTCCTAGTCTTGGGTATTTCCTGTGGTCCCATTACAAACACCCCACCCCTCCCTTTTCTTGGCCAATTCCTGGTTGTAATTTTGACCTAACTTCCTTCAGGGAAGCCTTGACCCTCAAAATCTGGAAGACCAGCCATCCCTCAGTTGTACATCTGTTCTTCTGTGAATGCACACATGCTTTGCAGTTTTAGGTAACATAAAGTATAAGTGACTATTTGATATTCTGGAATTTTATTTTGTTTATTTCCTTTCCCTTTTGGGATAACACCACTGTCTGCGTAAAGCTGTCTTAACTTGAACGTTTGAGTTATACTGATGTGGCCAAAACTCCCTCAAGTATACCTCCAGGTTGGTTTTCTTTTCTTTTTCTTTCATGAATGGGGCATATGATTCAGTCAGTTGTCTGGCGAAAGTCAAAAACCCAATCTGGATTAACTGGATGGCGATCCAGTGATAATAACATTGGGCTTTCAGTTGGAAATTTGAGCTAGGATCTGAAAAAGGGAGGTGTAGCCAGAAAGGATAATATTGCTTCTGAGGAGAGAGAGGAGAGACCCTGAGGTCTGAGCAGATTGCTCCCTGCACCATGTCCCCCTTCTGGTGAGGCAGGAGCCCTGAGCTTGGGACGCTGCCATCATACTGCCCTCAGCCATGCAGTATGAATGAGCAGGCTTTGCTTTTGCCTCAAAATGCAGTTTTGCCTTAATCTCAAACATTTTGATTTCTGCTTTGCTGTATGCCATTTTATAGACGTTTACGATATTTCTTAACCAGATAGATTTTTTTTTTTTGGAAATGAAAGACCTCTAATTAGTTGGAATTTTTTATGACATTTCAAATATTTAGTTTGTGTTCAGTAATTATAGTTCATATAACTTATTTTGTGATTTTACTAAAGCTTTTTTAGAAAAATAATAAACTAAAAGCTTAAAAAATATTCCATAGGAAAAAAAATATTTCATGGAATATTTTTAAAAGTGGAGGTCTTGTTCTGAATGTGAGCTCTGTGTTCCCCTAAATAAAATAGTAATTCTCATATTCGTAGGAGAGACATGTAATAAAATCGTCTTGAAATAGTTTATATTTTTTTCATCCCCAGCTTCCACAGGCTGTAGAATACCGTTCTGCTACTTTTACAGTTGAAAAATTTTTAAATGATGTAATGTTACTCATTGTTCAGGTGTTCCTTAATCTTTCACATCTGGGTCTATTTGTTAGATCTGGGAAGGAGCTCATTCTGGGCCACGTGACATTCCTTATTCCTCTATATGTTCAATATTCAGGGGACAATCAGCAACTTCTCCCTGAAATGGATGGGGTCGGTGTTCAGGCTCCTGGGTACTAACTCTGCGGTGGGGCTAGAATTAAATGTGGCACTCGCTGGATATGGGATGGGAGCAGTGGTGATCTTACTCCCCCATCGGGGCCTGGTAAGATGCACATTCTGGTGCCAGCAGGGGCAAAGCTGTGGCTTTGTGGCCACCCAGCAGAGAACGGAATTGGCGTAAATGGAGGGCTCCCCAACTATTGCCAGAACGGTGACTTTGGCCTTGAGTTGGTTCCTCTCAAGGGTGGAGGGATAATGGGGTTGCTAGCACTGAGCCTTGTTCCCTGAATATTTCGCCAGGATTCTTTTCGGAGCAGATTCATTAGGATGAGCATGCCGGCTCCACCCAGACTCCTGGACCTGGCAGGTCAGAGCCTGCTGAGGGACCAGGCCTTGGCCATCGCCGCTCTGGAGATGCTGCCCATGGAGCTCTTCCCACCGCTGTTCATGGCGGCCTTCGCTGGGAGGCACAGCGAGACCCTGAAGGCGATGGTGCAGGCCTGGCCCTTCGTCTGCCTCCCTCTGGGGGCCCTGATGAAGGAGCAGCAGCCTCACCAGGAGACCTTCCAAGCTGCGCTGGATGGACTTGATGTCCTGCTTTCCCAGGAGGTTCGCCCCAGGTGAGGGTGATCCTGTAGCCTGGGAGGGCCCTGGGGATCCAAGCAAGATACAGCTGGGGTCAGGGAAACTACAGGGCCACAGGGCGGGCCAGAGGCTTCTGTGAGGAAGCTCAGAGCAGCCTTGGGGCCATCTCTGGGGTCACTCTGGGAACAGGCTGTGGACATGTCGGGCTGATTGAGATGCAGAGGGTGACTAAAAGGAACGTGTTGCCCGCTTCCTCCTGGTAGCACCTAAAGGTACTGCAAGTGGGACCAAGAAGGATCCCAGTAGCCCAAGGAGCGAGCCACTGACATCCAGGGTGTGGAGTAAAAGTGCAGGTCAGGCGTCTGGGCCTTGCCTAGATTCTGTCTTACTCCCCACTGAGCTGAAAGCATCTCAGTCTGTCTCCCATCTTCCCTTCAGGAGGTGGAAACTGCAGGTGCTAGATTTACGGAAGAATGCTCATCAGGACTTCTGGACCGTGTGGTCTGGGACCAGGGCCAGTATATACTCCCTGTTGGAGCCAGAGGTGGCCCCACCCATGAGGAAGAGGCGAAAAGTGGAGGGTTGCAAGCCAGGGCCCAAGCCACCCTTGGCTCCTGTGGAGGTGCTGATAGACCTTTGCCTCAAGGAAGGTACCCTTGACGAGTCCCTCGCCTACCTCATCCAGAAAGTCCAGCAGAGGAAGGGTCTGCTGCACCTGTGCTGTAAGAAGCTGAAGATTTTCGCAGTGTCCATGCAGAACATCATGAAGATCCTGAAAATCATACAGCTGGACTCTATCCAGGATTTGGAAGTGAATTGCACCTGGAAACTGTCCATCCTGGGGAAGTTTGCTCCTCACCTGGGTCAGATGGGCAATCTGCGCAGGCTCCTCCTCTCGCACATCCACATGTCTTCCCACAGCACCCCGGTGAAGGAGGAGCAGTGCGTCAGCCAGTTCACTGCTCAGTTCCTCAGGCTGCACCACCTTGAGGAGCTCTATTTGGACTCGATCTCCTTCCTCAAAGACCGCCTGGACCAGGTGCTCAGGTGAGGGATGGTGAGGTTTCTCGGCGGATGAGCATAAGCCCTTTTTTCTTTCAGTGAACAATAATGGGCATCTGCCAGGTGCCCGCCGTCGACAGCGCCAGAGTGTATCATGAGTCACTAGAAGGTCCACACACTGTCCCTGCTCTGTCTCCACGCATGTTGTCACATAGTCTCCCAGATAAAGGTTGGAGGTATGAACTAGGATAGATGCTATTCGAAGGGGATTCTGGTTAGGAATCTATATAAGGGGGGCATTGGGGCAGGCCAGGGTGGCTTTGGGAATTCTCCCTGAGAAAGCGATGCCTACATTATGATGATCAAAAATAACTAAACTTGAGGGCATTGATGAAGGGAAAGTGTATCCGCTGTGAGGTTTCAGATCACAAGTTCTGTGCTTGGCAGCTTTGTCAACCGGAGCCTCTCTCTCCAAACCTGCCTCCAAATCCCTGTCTGTAAAGGGTTACTCTGGGTTCCACATAAGGCAGTAGAGAGGGAGTGTCTGGGGGTGGGGGTGCGCATGAAAGGGAGGGAGCAGGAGTGAAGACTTGTGGAAAGTGATAGCTGGTACATGGATGATACAGTGATCCAAGTTAGGCCCTGCAGGCTACATGTTGCCAGGCCTTGCCCAGATGAGCTCTTTGTGCACATCTCCCATTAGCCTCATCGGAAACAGGTACCGTTGACTGGGGTGGTAGAAGCAGCCAGAAGGAAGCCCGAGTTGAAAGCATTTCTAGTCCTGTCTCCCAGTACTAAACTTCACTGATTCCTTTCCTTTTTTGGAGACGTGGGGCCAGGCTGCCCTCTGAGTGCATCACATTGTTGGATGGATTCATGCTCACAGCACCTCCGAGGGGCATGCTGTGCTGCGTTTGACAGCAAAGGGGGCATTTGAGCTTTCATTGACTTGACCGAGTCATCCAGCAAATGAGTAATGCAGAAAGGACTCCCCTGAAACTTGGATGGATTTGAGTCCTTTTTTTTTTTCCCCAGGCAGCATCCTGGGGCTTGACCTTCATCTGTAATGCCCTGGGTCTGGGTGGAATGGGCTTCTCTTTCCTCAAGGCCCAGGTCATCCCCATGTCCCTCTGCCTGTCACATCCGTTCCCCCCCGAACTTACTGCTTTGTCTCTCCCCAGGTGCCTGAAGACCCCCTTGGAGACCCTGTCAATAACTAATTGCCTGCTTTCGGAATCTGACTTGACACATCTGTCCCAGCACCTGAACGTCAGTCAGCTGAAGGACCTGGGTCTCAGCGGGGTCAACCTGACCAATATGAGTCCTGGGCCTCTCCGAGTTCTGATAGAGAGAGCCTCCGCCACCCTCCAGGACCTGGACTTGGATGAGTGTGGGATCATGGACTCCCAGTTCACTGTCATCCTGCCTGCCCTGGGCCGCTGCTCCCAGCTCACAACCTTCAGCTTCTGTGGAAACCCCATCTCCATGGCCGTGCTGGAGAACCTGCTGCGCCACACCATTGGGCTGAGCAAGCTGAGTCACGTGCTGTATCCGGCCCCCCTGGAGAGTTACGAGGATGTCCATGGCACCCTCCACCTGGGCAGACTTGCCCATCTGCACGCCAGGCTGAAGCAGATGCTGCAGGAGTTGGGGCGGCCAGGCATGGTCTGGTTCAGTGCCAACCCCTGCCCTCACTGCGGCGACAGGACCTTCTATGACCCAGAGCCCATTCTGTGCCCCTGTTACATGCCTGCCTAGCTGGAGACACATACTGGACACTGAAGCCCAGGTGTAAGTGTATCTTAAAGGAGCACAGAAACCACAGTTTGAGAAAATCTGCCCAATGTGAGCAGGAAAAGGAAAGGTGATTGTTGGGAGGAGAGGATGTTGACCTGGGAGTTAATAGGATCTCTGGGGAGATGCATCTTAGAGCGTTAGAAATATGAATCTGAATTTCTAGAGGGAGATTTGGGTTTGGGCGGTAGATGTGGGCGTTATCCCTGCATGGATGGTTGTAAAGACATGGTCAGAAATAAAGAGAACCTCAGTGTCAACCATCTGATGTCCTCTGTGCTACATGAAGCTTATTCTCAAGTTTAAACCTCAGGAATCTGCAGTTCCTGATTAAATAAGAAGGTGCAGCTCCCATGATGCTGAGACACTAAGCTGGGTGAGGTTCAGCCCCAGCAGTTCCTGGCACCATTTATCATTCCTTCCATTTGGCTCTTATCTCTGGTTCATCTGTTACCTCCTCACTTAATTTCTGTGGCTGTTTAAGCGGTCCACACACACAAAGTACATTTCCTCAGGGCCTAGAACATACTAGGGGGCCAATAGTACCACTGGAGGAAAGGCGCTTTGGAGGGATCCTCGCTAACTCTGCCAAGACTCTGGACTTGAGCACTTCTCCCCAGGGGATCCAAAGTCTCCATCCCTACCTTTGGCTGTACCAAGGTAGGGTTTTACTGTGTACAAGTCAGCTCCCTAATACTGGAGGGGATGTACACCCTGCAGATGAGCTGGAGCCTCTGGGCCTTACCAGCCCATTCCTGTCTTCCCACCAAGTCCAGTCCTTTTCTTGAATTCAATTAGTTGTGGTCAGTAAAAATATCGAAATTCCTTTTAGCAAAATACTAAGGTCATATTTGTTTCCCACATTAAAAATATGACCTCTTTTTGTGGGGGCTAGGTCACGTCAATGTGAGTTTGACTTTCTCCAGAAAATCCACCTTCCTCCTTATCAAAGGTAGAGTAAGCCAGCTCTGAGCAAGGAAGATGCTGTGGATTTGGGTCCTAAGAATGAATAAGCAAACCCTTACCATGTCCTGGGGAATGCTTGGGTGGAAGCAGGTAAATGTCAGACTTGGGAATTGGGGGTGTGGAGGGGCCACCCGGTGAGACCAATCATCCAAATGAAGATATCACACTGTGGGGTCGGACTCCATGGTCAGTGGGTAGTTAGCTGTCCGGTGAGCATGAGGGATCCCTGTCCTCACACCCTTGCATCCTGTGCCTAGGCTGCCTCACCTCCCTCACTGCATGGCCTCCCAGAGAAATACCTGGAGAGAAGACCATACGACAAGGCCCAGGGCAGGGCTCCATCTGCACATTTCCCTGAGTATAAGCAAGTCAGCCCTGCTTGTTCTTCCACTGCCTCTCATTCAGTGCTAGCCACGTGTGTGTGTGTGTGTGTGTGTGTGCGCTAGCCATGTGTGTGTGTGTGCTAGCCACGTGTGTGTGTGCTAGCCACGCGTGTGTGTGCGCTAGCCACGTGTGTGTGTGTGTGTGTGTGCGTGTGCGCGCATGTGTACCACTGTCCTTGCTGGGTGTCAGCACCTCCTTTTGCCACACACAACTGGCCCGTTGATCTCTTCCTATAGTGGTTACCCTCTTCTGCCTCCTAGCCTCCTATCCTACACCCAAAGAACCAGAAACGGGCCCATCAGTTTGTGGCACACACTGTGCCATTTCTGCAGAAGAGAAAACAGAATCTGTGTAACTGATGGAATGCCCCAAAAAAGGGGGTCAGGAAAATATCTCATTTTGTCCTGATGTGCACCTTGTCCTACATTCCTTACGTAGACCCAAGTTACAGGGACTAATTTCCGGAATGGGAACCAGCAGCTCTAGGATTTGAGGAAAAGTTTACAAAATGGTTAGGTTCTCTGGGAGGAAGAGCAAAAAACAAAGCATCACATGATCTCAGCACTGGGTTCCTCAATCACAAAATTGAGACAATACTCCGTAATGACACAGTGAGATTTACCCATGGGACTCACATGAAAAGCATGCCTCGGAGTGCCCTGTTCATGGATGGCCCCGTGCAGGAGAGTGATGATTAGAGCTGCCCAACACAAGTAAAGGAAGAACAAAAGTCAACAGTGCATCTTGTTTTTAAAGCCAGGTGTCCTACAGTCAGGACTCTCTTTGGCCTGGAGACCTCATTTGAGAGAGAAATCTGGCAAGATTCTTTACTCGGAATTTAGACTTTGCCATCAGAATGTTCAAAGAGGCATGGTATCAAGGCAATGAGGCTTTAAAAGCTGGGTTTGGTTGGGGAGAGTCCTCATCAGTAAGGATGATCATACAAGGGGACCTGGGGAGGTAGTGCTTGCTGATGGCAGGGGGACCACATAGATGAAGGCCCTATTGAGGAAGATAGGAGTCTCCAGGTCATCAGAAAGCAGGCAGGAGGGTACGGCACACACAGTAGGTTGTTCAGTAGTAATTCACCTTGGAGCCACCTGATCTGCACAGGAGACAGGCAGATTGGATTCAGGGCAGCTGGGGGATAAGGACGTGAGAGGGAAGAATATGGACAGAAAAGAATCAGAGTGCAATCCCACGTAACAAGCCTGGAGAATCATCCAGAGGCTGAAAAGACACCGAAAGGAGACCCGAGGACTGGGCAGAACGAAAATGTCAAATAATTCTGGGAAAGGCAGTTGGGGAGAACTGAACTATTTCCTAATGCCAGCAAGAACTGCTGACTTGACCCCAAATCCAGATCAGTAGTAGTTTTGTTGCTGTTGTTGTTTTGTTTGTTTGTTTAAGTAGGTTCCACCCAGCATAGAGCCCAACACAGGGCTTGAACTCAAGACCCTGGGATCAAGACCTGAGCTGAGAACAAGAGTCAGATGCTCAGCCGACAGAGCCACCCAGGCGCCCCCTGGATTAGTATTAGGAAGCCGGATTACTGCTACTACTACTAATAAGGGCAGGGGAGGTGGCTGTACAAACAGAAAGAGAGAGAAATAGGCCAGACTCTGCCACTGACATGAAATCATTGTGAGAAGCATATTTACATCGCCTGACCAATCTCGTATTGGTTCAGGACCCACACAGCGTTGATCTTGGGCTGTGAAACTTAAAAAGACAGATCAGCTGAGCAAAGGGAGACCCCTTGGGCTGAGCTGAGTTCTGGTTGGGATTCATTTGCTGCTCCAGAGAGAGAACTTCAGCATCAAGAGGAGACAAACCTGGGGTTCTCACAGGAGGCTGTTGGTCCAGACACCAAAGAGTTGTCAAGATGAATTTAGAAAGAGCGGAAGAACAAGAGGGAGAGGCGACTCAGCATTTGGACAAGCAGAGTTTAATATAATATGATGAGGCAGGACCTCAGAGGGCTGGAGCACAAAGCCGCTGTCCACAGGACTTTTCTCCAATGTTTTCTTCAATAAAGCTTCCGGTCTTGAGAAAGCAGGGACACAGGTCCCTGTGTCTATGTCATGGGCAGACTGTGGAAATGCAGGCCATCAACGCTGTGTGGGTCCTGAACACGTCAGTGTGGATTTCACATGAAATGCACAAGTGCCTGGTGGATCCTGGGGTCTGTCAGACCTCTGCAGGTGCCACTCACTCATGGTCATGGTGAGTACCTGCACAACCTTATTCTAGTCCACAGGCTATTCAATATTTTGAAAATTAATAAAGAGAAACCTCACTAGAATGGAGTCTGGAGACCAGAAAGGGGACCTCTCCTGCCTACCACTTCTTGGAGTCCTGTGCGGACCCAACAGGAAGAGACCTACCTTCTGTTCCCAGCAGGAAGAAGGGGATGCTTCGCTACCGCCACAGGAGGAAGGAAGATGCTCTCCTCCCTCACCAACAGCCCAGCCAGCAAGTGACAGTCCCACCTCAGCTAACGAAAAGCCACTATGCTAGTTTACTCTGATGGGCTTTTTGTTTCTAATAACCATTTCCAGCCCCCAGCCCACCTTTCCTCTGTAAAAGAGCAGTCCTCTGCTTTGTTCTCCAGACTTGCCACATCTTCTTTTGTGAATTACAATTCTCTGCTATTCCTGAATAAACCCATTTCACTAGTTAAATAACTGAGTTTTTTTCTTTCTTTTTAATATTTTTATACTTTTTATTTATTTTTTATTGAAGGACAGTTGATGACCAGTGTTATATTAGTTTCAAGGGTAAGACATAGTGATTCAAAAACTCTGTTTGTTATGCTGTGCTCATCGCACGATCTGGCACTGTACGCCACTATTACAATACCATTGACTATATTCCCTATGTTGTAACTTTCATCCCTGTGACTTATTTCTTCCATAACTAGAGGCCTGTACTTCCCACTCTCCTTTACCCATTTTCCCCATTCCCTCATCCCCCAAATAACTGACAGTTTTATTTCAAGGTTAACAATATCCGATCTTGCTTTGACGAGGTGGATCCATATTTTCTTCATTTTACTCCTAGGTAAAGAATCATACACTACGCTTGCTTCTTCCTTCCTCCTAGCTCAATTTGGCCAGTGCTTTAGCTGAGGGGTAGAGAAGTGCTTCTATATAATCCTTTAAAAAGGCCAAAATGGAACAGGACAGAGATGAAATCTGATTGACATATAACTGCTATTGCTTAACAAACCTTCAAGCTCACTGAGCAAGGAGCCCATGCTCCACAGTAGGGTGCCTGTTCTAGTTGGTGGGTGTCAAACCATAGGATGTAGAAAGAGTGAATATGAAATGTGATAAAATGTGTGCTGGTTTGCTCGTTTATACAATAACAAATACTAAAATGTTTATCAACCATTAGCCAAATAAACAAAAGTTCATTAACCATTTCTAATATACCAGATCCTGTGCTAGGTACCAGGGGTACCTAGGATGTAAGGTAATACGGTTGCCTCCTTGGCAGTACTTGGAAGGTCACAATGGCCTCAGGATTAGATTAGTGAGGCTGAAACATGGGTGTGATTATGAGCCACCATAAGCTGGCCCCCCACCTAAGGTTACCCTCAAGGCTTTCCTTTTCCTAAGACTGCACTATGGCAACTTCTAGAAACACAACCTATACAGCAGGGACCAGGGGATGAAAAGAGAGTCTGAGATACTATCTCCCCTATTCCAGAACTTTTAATGTGGAGCAAGAGCTACCATTTATTGAGCACAACCTCGCTCAATCCCAAGATCATTCCTCTTGAGTGTATATGATGTTGTGATTTATAATAAGAAATATAAATCCTTGTTCCTCTTTCTGGCACAGAGCTCTTGAAACCTTTGGTATTTTCCAAGTTGTGAAAGCAATAAAGGTGTCTTGTGTTATGTTA